TTATATCTGATTTCATTTCTTGCAAGATCTTGTGGAACATGACTTTTATGAGATTAAGCTGGTATTAATCTCATGGAGCAGGGTTCTTACAGACTTATTTTCCAATATGCTCATCACGTTTAGCCCCGAGACATTTCTAGAAAGCCAGATCTTCAATTTGGGCTATTAACCTTTACTGGACAAGTCGTCTTCATGTATCTGTCATTTGTTGGAGGGATTATTATCTTTTGCAGTTGCTTCAGAGGGTTCGGTCAAACCAAACATGGCACACCTTCACTGGTTCATCATAAGCAGAAAGTTGTCATCCTCTTACTAATTCAGCTGGCTGTGTGGCTCTGATGTATTGTGCAAAAATAAAAAGAATCATAATAAAAATAAAGTAAAAACAGTGGTTTGTCTGTAAATTATACTGTTAAAAGGTTTCCATCCGAGTAATTCCTGATGTATTAAATAATAAGAAATATGTTGTATGGATTTTATTGCCAGAAAGCAAACAAAATTTAAAATAGAATCATTAGCTTAGCACATCTTTATTGACCGACAACTCAAATTTATAACCTATAGAAAATGTCAAGCAAACAAAAGCTTTTTTTTATTTAAGCATCTGAGGAAGACAAATGATGAAAAATGTTTATTTTGTGGAATAAAGAGCATTTATTAAATAGAGAATTTTAATATTAAAAAAGCAAATAGACAATCAGTTAAAAGGGAGAATAAACAAGGTTATTGTAATTTTGTTTTCTTAGTTTCTTTTGTAATTTAATTCGCTGTAATCACACGTTAGACCAGTGAGTGGCGCTGATGCTGCACAGTTTCCTACTAACAACTTATAAAAACCAACGAAGAAGAACTTTGTTTAGCCTCCATTCATACAGCACACGCTCTACAACATTTGAGCTGTTTTTGTAAATCTTTTAGCATTTTGCCAGGTAAGAAAACGATATTATATTACTTTTAAAAAGCGTTAAATATAATAAACTAGCAATAATACCATTTACAAGGCTTTGTATTTTTGTTAGCCTTCAGTGACAATCTTGTTAGCCGTATTATTAAGCTAGCTTGTTAAGTTACTTTTTTGTTGGCAAGAGTATATTTTTCTAGAATAGTCACGTCGTTCAGCAGACACCCGTTAAAACGTACAAAGTCCAAACAAAGGAGTTATGTAACACAAAGTGGACTCCATGGAAGTTGCACTGGCGCGCAGTTCATTTATTGCCTTGTTTACCAGCTGGGTTTAAGCTCCGTCATTCTTCGGACCCAAACTTTGCTCTGAATAACGTTCGACAGCCACTGTTCGCAGAACCTGCTTCCCCCGGCGGTGTGCACCAGCCTGTTCGACTCCACCACGAAACGAACCTCCACCGGCAGAGCTGCAGGCCGGTTTTTGTTCACCTCCACCAGAAAGTAGACGCTGGCCGTGTCCGGRATGGGCTCGCGCGCCGTCGGGGTGCTGAAGCGGGCCCGGTAGTGGTAGAAACAAGCGCCGTGCGYCTCCTCGGTTGAACAGAGGAAGTCGAGGGTGTGAAGCCAGCCGGGGTGGAGCTCCCATGTTTGGATAAACGCATTAATCTGCTGTTTACCCACTYCAACAGTGAAGTCTTGGCAAGACGTCCACCGAAATGAGTCCGTTTTCTCCGCGGCGTGGCAGCGTCTCTCCAACGACGCTTTCGCGAGCAAGGCAGACTCTGCTGTACATTTCAGGTCATTGGAGTGATCTTCCATCGTGTCTTAGCTATTGTTTTGTTGCCTCAACAGTTTCCATAGTTACCATGGTAAGAAAGTCAAAGGTTGCCCCCTGCTGGCCATTATGTGTAACGCGTGGAATTAGTCATTTTTGTGTTGACTTATTAGTTGTAGCGGCTATCTTATTGGATGGACACCAAAAGGTTATCAGATGTAGATGTTCACCYAGTAGTTGTTTTATGAAAGTTTCATTAAGCTCCATCATATGGTTTGTGAGACATTTTGCAAAAAGTCGGGCAGGGTGGAGTAAAAGTTAACAGCAAAGTTCATTCAGTGCTCAGATTTTGTGTTTTGGAATGACTCTCAGCTACCATCACACTAAGTATTAGTTTAAGATGTGTAAAATTTTAAATTTGCTAAGGTTGCATAGCTGTGGCTTAGAGTTGGGCATAATCATATCGTGTGCAATTAATCATCAGAAAAACATTAATCCATTATTTTTTTGGCACTTGACGATTAAYACAATCAATGCCACCAGGTTTTTTTTAATTTAGTTTAAAATTTTAATCTAAAATTTGATGTATAGCCTTAAGTCTGTAATTTTGACACAATTTGGAGCAGATTTTTTTTTACAAAGAGCAAATCTTTCTCACTAAATTGGTCATGTGACTAGGACATAAGGGTGTCCATGGACTCCAGGGGATTAATCGTCTAATTATTTGTTATGGGATAAATACTGCAATTAATTATGATCCTTTTTTTGCCAATATTGCCCAAGCTTACTTGTGGCTGTCCTAATGAAGTTGTCTCCAAAAGTTAATGAAATGTACTGTAAGAAAATTAATGTTCAATAAACTGAAGTCGGTATTAAAACCACCATTGTTAAATAAATTGATTTGTAGAAGGAATCAAACCATACAACACCAGAATTCTGGATCTGAGTGAGGTTTACTGTCACCGAAGCTGACAGGAAACCAACACTGGCGAAAAACCAGGAAGTTGATGTATTTATACACCTTCTTCAKTGCCTGCGTTCGCCCCCTACTGACCTACGGCTGAATCACAGGCATTCAGACAAAATTCTCATCTACTGTTCTCACAACGGTTGATTATGTGTTGTCACCTATTTCAGACATGTAACTAATCTATATCAATCAAAACATAATAGATTAAACACTGTCAACGTTACAAAAAGGAAAACCTCAGAATATAGTGTTGTGCTTTTAACATCAGTACTAACATCTAATAATTTTAAATKTCTTCTGTACTGTGTATTTGATATTTAGCTTGGGTCCTTTGATTCTTGTTATATTATACACTACAGGCAAAAACATCCCTTTATCAATGGGCTATGATAAACATTAATCAACATCTTAAAATTTTCAWTTATTTCTTTGTATATTTATTTAACATATTTTGTAAATTGTCTATTTTTTTCAGAAAAGTGGATCCCACAACAAAGTTTCAACTCTGACAAATTTGCCTTTAAATGGACCTGAAGGCAGCTGTAAATCATGGCAGATAGAGTGCGGAAATGTTGCGTTTTTTTTTTTCACTCAAACATTTTAGCCTCATCCCTTTGCTTCAGTGACTTTTTCTTTCCCCACTGATGTTCCCGTGGAGCCATCGGACGCATGTCGCGGCTCAGGTCCACAATCGACAGCGTAACCAGGGCAGTGGGCAGCACAGACCTCATCTCCAAGTTTTCCCGCTTCAAGCCCGCCAACGCCACAGTCGACGGAACCCATGCTGGGAAGGTTCTGATCAAAGCGGAGACTTTAACTTCCGGCGATACAGCCTCTGAGTCGCCGAAAGCAACGATRGAAGAAAAAGCCGACGGGCGGAACGGAGACGCTGAAGGGGCCGAAAAACCTTTTGATGCCACAAAGAAGCCCTCCAGTTTAGAGCCGTCAGCAAGCGTGTCTGCTCCGAGCTCTTCCTCAGCTGTGGTAAAACAAACTAAGCAGCTGTTCTACCCAGCACCTCTGTCCACCAACATGGATGAGACGTACAAGTCTCTGTCCCACCACATCAGCAGTTACTTTGGCACCAATGTGCAGGGAGAAGATGGAGAGAACTGGCAAAAGGACAAATGCCATCTTGTTCCTGAACCTCCCACTAACACTCAAAAATCAGTGGACCACATTCCTGTTTTGTCTCCAGTGTCCAAGACAAAGCGTATTGAATCACCTACTACCTCTCTCGTCACTTCCTCCTCAGCAGAAAAGCCCAGTCCCAAACCAGAGAGCCCCCGTCCTGCTGAAAGCACCACTCGGTCTGTTCCCGAGCCGACAGCTTCTCAAAAAAAAGGCTTCACCCACTACCTGTCCTACCCTCGGCCCAGCGTCCAGGCCTTCGTCGGCAGCTACATCGCCCCTCTGGTCCCCAAATTCAGAGGCGATTCCAAACGAGTCGCGGCTGATAAGGACAAGTCTTCAGTCGTCGCCGTGGATGACCCAACGCAGGACGGAGCGACGGAGAGGAGAGAGAGCGAAGAGGAAAAAGCTGAGAAGGCGAAGCAGCAGCTGCAGAGTCAAAGAGAAAAGGTGGGATATTAAAACACGACTTGCTGTGATCCTGTGAACCAGTTTTACTTGATTAGTTTGTGTTGCAGATAATAGCACGAGTGAGCGTGGATAACCGGACCAGAGCCCTGGTGAAAGGTCTGCAGAGGGTCACCGATTCTAAACTCCTCACCACTCGAGTGGAGGAGCTCAGTTTTCACCTCCTGGAGTTCCCCGAGAGCCGAGGGGTGGCCTTCAAGGTCAGCGTGCCTCGATTTTTTATTTTTTAAAACAAGCTTCATCTTTTCTGAGAGCTCACGCAGTCGTGTCTTWCAGCAGAGCGTGTTGCCCTGCCTGCTGCGACTGCGCCAGGCCAGAGACCTTCCTCTGCAGGCGGCGGTGAGAGAAGCTCTGGCTGTCGTCGGCTACACAGACCCAGTCAGAGGCAGAGGGATCAGGGTGCTGGCCATAGACGGAGGAGGCACAAGGTGTGGCTTTAAAAGATTTCTTGAGTATCTGTGACAGTATCTGTGATCAGCTGTGTTCATCTGGATGTTTTTGTTTGTAATGTTTGTCTCAGGGGACTGCTAGCCCTGCAGACTCTTCATAAACTACAAGACCTGACTGGAAAACCAATCCATCAGCTGTTTGACTACATCTGTGGAGTCAGCACAGGTGTGTGCAACTTGTAAAAATAGCTTTATATTTGTTATTTATTTTCACTGGTTAATAGCCAAATGTGTTTTTTAATTATTATTATTTTGGTTTGTTTTGCAACAGGCGCCATCTTGGCTTTCATGCTGGGGATTTTTCAGATCCCCCTGGAAGAGTGYGAGGACATGTACAGAAAACTGGGTTCAGATGTCTTCAAACAGAATGTCATTGTTGGAACTGTAAAGATGGGCTGGAGCCATGCTTTCTATGACAGTGAAATATGGGAGAATCTCCTCAAGTAAGACTGTAAGATTCAGTTTTCTAGTTGGGAGGCCAGGTGATCAGATGTTTTTTGTTTGTATGTTTGTTTGTTTTTTAGAGAACGTATGGGGGAGGGGAGCATGATTGAGAGTGCCAGGGACCCACACTGCCCCAAAGTAAGTGACTTTAAAACTCTTTTAAATTCAGTTAATTTTGTTCATGTTTACTTGTTTAAAATCAGTTTTTATTTAACACTGACACGATTGTTTATGTTTTGTTCCATCCGTTTTCTGTTGCTGCAATGTTTTGTGTCGTCCACCAGGTGTCAGCAGTGAGCACCATTGTCAACAGAGGCTTGCCTCTGAAGGCCTATGTGTTCAGAAACTACAGACTCATGCCTGGAGTGAGATCCCACTACCTGGGTGACTGCAAACACAAGATGTGGCAGGCTATCAGGGCCTCTTCTGCCGCCCCCGGATACTTCCAGGAATTTGTTCTGGGAAAAGACCTCCATCAGGTACGACTCAGTGGACCCACACACATAAAGCCACCAGGCGTCAGAGGCTCAGATGGAAAATGAATGGAATGATTTTTTTTTTCTGAACACATCAGAGCTCACAAATGTGTCCGCATTCTTGGAACAAGTTTCTGATTCCATGACTCCCATCTGCCAGAGCACAGAAACAGGAGATAAATGATACGTTAAACAAGAAACAGTCCTTCACCTACAATCTAAGCATCGTTGTGTTTTACTTTCCTCCACTCTGCTTCTGTGTAGGTGTGAGCAGCCCAGTCACATTTGTACCATTTTATGACGTTTGATTTTTGGGTCAGATATCTAAAGATGCTTCTAATTAGGAACGATTAGGCTAAAGGCTTAGCTCCATTCTGATAACCTATTTAAACCAAATTAGCTGCATCCTTTCATCTCGCCTGTCATTTCCGAAATCAGGGGTCTACATTAATGCCACTAGTTTAGTTAATATATTTACTTACTTAAGCCTTGTTTGGAGGAAGCTTGGAATAAAAAACAAGTGGGAGTTTGGATTTATCATAGTTGTAACTGCAACTTCTCATTAAAGTTTTTTTTTTGACAAATAGTGTAGTATTGACTTAAATATCATGTTTCTATTTGCACATTTTGTTTTTGTTTGCTCATCGCAGTCTGCCAGGGGAAGGTGGAGATTGATAAACTGCGTCTGTCTGTACCTTCCACATTCCTCGTGGGGTTTAGTCGTGTTTCATGAACAGTTTGAGCTAACTTTGCCACCCACTGGTCTCACTTTCACTCCAGTTTTCAGCACCAGCAGAGAGATTTCTCAGGAGAATTCTGACAAATCAGGAAACCCACAGATAAACTTCAGAAAATGGGTCATTTGAACTCTTTGCAGAGATGGAAATTGGAACTTTTTTATTGGCAAACTATATTAAATATATTAAATGATTTTCTTGCTGTCAGATGCTGCCTATATTTGCTTTTGGACAATTCCTAAATTAGTAAAGATTAATGCTAAATGGAGAAGAACAACTTCTAAAAAGATAATGCTGAATATTCTTCTCTTAGATCTTACTCAGCTCTATTACCTGTGGCTATAACCTTATCCTGTGCTCAGCTGAGGAAAAATAATTCCCCGCTCTGTCTTAATCATCGTGGACATCGGAGGTATTTCAGAGCTTGGATAAGTTCCAGACTTGGGAGGGAGATAAATCCAGTGACCCGTTCATCCTAACAGATTGTCTGTAGATGAATCCTGTATTTCAGTCTCCAAAGCCCGTCTCTAGTTACCGTAATCCAGGGGTCTGCAACCTTTATGATCAAAAGAGCCATTTCTGCTACTTGACTCACTAATAAAATGTGTGCAGAGCCAGCTAAAACTGTGATTATCAACTGGTGGTCCGTGGGCCTTTTCGAGGCCTTTTCAGGAACCTTTACGGCCAGTGGAGGAGACATAAAACAAAAAAATATATATTATGAATTTTATTATTTATTATTGTTTTTTCACATCAGAACAAATAAAAAGACCATATTCATGTAAAGAAGAAAAAATACATATATAGTTTATACCGAATTTCATAAAAACTAGTAAACCTGACCTATTCAGGATTTTTTTTAATATAATTCTTATTATGTAGTCTTCAAATTCTTTAAAGGTGATTCTGATAGATTTGAGAGAAAGATCATAGAAAGAAGTTGGATTATTTAAGTAAACATCAGGCTAGCATGAGCTAAAATGTTTTACTTTTTGTATTAGTAGTATTGATCACATATTTGCATACAAATTGTTTCTGTTGGGAGTATAAAAAACGAACAAACAAAAAAAGAGAGAGAAAATACACTGGTCACATTTTCAAAGAGCCACTGTAAAGGGAACAAAGAGCCACATGTGGCCCCAGAGCCACAGGTTGCAGAACCCTGCCCTAATCTCATCTCTAACCACGTGTCTTTTCCCCGTCAGGATGGAGGGCTTCTTGTCAACAACCCCACAGCTCTGGCCATTCACGAGTGTAAATGCCTGTGGCCGAACACGCCCCTGCAGTGCGTGCTGTCTCTGGGCACCGGGCGCTACGAGACGGCGGGCACGAACGACACGACCTACACGAGTCTGAAGACAAAGCTGACCCACGTCATCAGCAGCGCCACGGACACCGAGGGTAAGAAGAAGACGACACGAGAACGCACCAGAAATCGCGCGTACGAAACTTAAAGCCGCCTCCGCTAAATGTTTGCTTTCAGAGGTGCACACCATGCTGGATGCCCTCCTGCCCCCCGACTCCTACTTCCGCTTCAACCCCTACATGAGCGAGGACGTGCCGCTGAACGAGAGCCGCATCGAGAAGCTGGACTTCCTCAAAAGCGAAGCGGAGCGCTACCTGGAGCGCAACGAGGCCAAGCTGAGGAAGGCTGCGAGCGTGCTGGGCCGGGAGAAGGGCGCCATGCAGAGGCTGGCCGAGTGGGTGAAGCTGAAAGCCGACATGTACGAAGGAATCCCCTTCACCTCCAAGCTCTAATCATAAACTCATAAAAAACACAGTGTTTCGAAAATATGGGCCAAACGTTTACACAAGTTGGACCGCCAACACAAAAAAATTGTTTTAATAAGATAATACTCGTTAAAAATCACGTGATGTAATTTATTCTTTAGTATTAGCAGGATGAACCGAGGAAAACGGTGTTGATCTTTGAGCACAAACAGGTCTGTGAGACACGTGTCCATCGCATGATCCATGCATGAACACTTAATGGGTTTAATGTTAGAAACTAATGACTGACATACATGAAAGTGTATCTTACCTCCCTGTGAAAAGATAACTCCGCCCCTAGGCGAAATTTGAAAAATGCATCAAAGTGGGTAGGGGAGGGGGTGTGGGTGGGGAAGGGGATGGGTTAGAGAGCGGAGGTGTGGCCAGGACGAGAGAAAGTGACATGCAGCCAGCATTAGCATAATTGATGCTACATGGAGAGTGACCACAATATAGCAGATAGTTACATCTCTGAACGTCTGAAGTGGAGGATTTTCACCCCACACCAGCACCGGACAGAGGAGGAGGAGCGCTCCGACAGCCTGACAGAAAAAAATAAAAGCATACAGCTGCAGCTGCTCACAAGATCACTAGTTTAAATCAGGAATAAAAGTGTTGGGTCTTGTTTGACTGAAGTTCGGTCCGGTTCGCATACATTTCAACCTCTTTGGACATTTACCTGTATAAAGAGCCCTAAAAATCCATAAATTTTGCAAAAAATCCATACAACTCGCACCCGCAGGGGGTTGGGGGCGGTCTCAGCTGCGGAYATGAAAGCGCCTGCTGAAGGAAAGGAGAGAGGAAAAAGTAACTTATTTCTAGCGGCAGAACAGGTTGGAAGATGGCTGTTTGATGTTATTTATTGTTTTTTAAATCATCCTACAGGCTCTGACATGTTAGATAAATTTGAAAATGAGGTTTTTAAAATATCCGTAAGACTTGAAAAAAAAAACGTGAGATTGCTCTATACGTCCGTATACCTGCAAAATGACTTAAAATCCTTATAACTTTCTCTCTCTCTCTCTCTCTCTCTC